ATTTATTAGTACAGCTATTGGAGCTGTAATGTGTTACCTTTGATTGTTTGGTTTTGAATACTATTCAGTAACTGTTTCTTTAGTATTCCTTTAATGATACGTGCAGGACTTAAGCTTTTAGAAAGAACCTAAAAGTAGGTTTAAAAAAGTTTTTGAGGAAATGGTGGTGGTTGTGGCTACCATAATTGTTGTTTCTGAATGGAAGTGTCCAAAGTCTAATAGAAAGACTAACTTAGTCTATCTAGTCTTAGTCTCCTGAAGTATATGTATATTGTGTTGATAAGGTATGTAGCGGTCTTATCCCTGTGGCAGTATCTGAGACTTCAACAGGCTTTGCTATTCCATTTTGGAATGCAAATAAGACCTTTAATTCCACCATCACCATCACCACCCCCTTCCAGGAACAAAGTGAGCAAATCTGGGGGAAAGGAAGAAGGAAAAGAGGAAAGAGGAGGCTGTAGTTCTGCAATATGCAGAGAATGATTGTAGGTCTCCCTGAGTCAGATCAGGAAAAATGTGGCCTTCCTGTGTTAAGATTTGAGCCAATATGTATTGCCAGTTCAGATTTGTTCAGAAATACTGCAGTGTTAATGTTTTGTGCTGCTGCCCTTTGCCCCTCACCAGGTATGTCCATTTGCTTTGGAAGGGTTCTTATTGCACCTCTTCTGGCTGTCCACATGCCCTTTTGTTAGCACTGTCTCCTGATCTGCTCCCAAGTCCCTGCAGGTCACTGGTAGAATGTCACTCGCCTGCATTAAAAGCATGTTTTTAACCCTCCCTCACTTTATTTTTAGACTTTCATTGCTGCTGGACCTTCCTTTCCATACCTTTGATTTCCTCTAAGGGGGTAGGAAGGATTGTCTCTGTGGTAAGGACAATCACAGATGCCTGGGAAAATGGCTCTGTTCTTAGGAGAAAACCCAGAATCTGGGCTTCTTGAGTTCCCCACAGTTCCCCAGAGGTAGCCTGGGGTTCAGGGCAGAATAAACTTCCATAAAGACTGGTCAGTTCTAACTCTTTGACCCTTAGCCTTTCACTGTTTAAGGTGCATTTCCTGGTGTGTTTTGCTAACACAACGTACCAGTGTTGCAAGCGATGCTGCTCCTGGGCTTTGCATTGCTGTACTCACAGTGGTTGCTTTTTTTCAGTTTAGGAGAGAAAATGCAAGCTTCTATTTTCCTGCTCTGAAAATGCTAACTGTGCCTGAAATTAGCCAGTGGAGGATGCAGGTGTGTGCCCTAGCCACGTGAATAACTTGTACCCTGCACACATGGGAGCAGGAAAGTCTATTGATGCATTATCACACAGATTGGTGAAATAACTACATAACGTTCAGAACAATGGATTATTCTCTTGCTTACAGATACCAGTTGTATATATTGTCAGCTTTTGTGCAGATGTATAGCTACAGAATTAACTAGGGCCTAATAGTGGTAATGAGAACATCTGAAAGCATCTGGAGCATATGTTGCCTCCTGTATTGCTCACCTTTTCTGCATATTTGACCCTTTCATTGCCTTGCACAGCTTTGGTACTGGAACATTATTTAGTAGCTGTCAAAAATCAAGCTCTGATAGAGCAGCTCTGGTCAGCAGGGTTCCAGCCAAGCTCAGGACCCAAAGGTTGTGTTAATTTTGGCAATTAGCCAGTTGCCCTCAGTGTTGTCTCCGAGTTTCTACTTTTTACAGTTCACACAGCTTGTGTCCTGATTCTTCTTTGGTATATGTATATTTAAGTTCTCATGCTATTATCATCTTTAGATCTTAAACTGTCTTATTTAATGCAGTCTAAAAACCAGGAGGCCAATGGCTGTGTGATGCTGTGGAGCTAGAGAATAAGCAATTGGAAGCAGCATGTCTTTGAGCTATATCAGTTCATAAAAATGAGTGTCTGGGGATGGCTGTTTTACTCCTTCATCTTTTCCTCACCCTTCATGCACAGTCACTTACAGATGGTGAAACCAATGAAAGTCCAAACAAGCAAGTACGAAAGGTTTCTAGAAGGTAGGTAGTGGGCAGATGCTTTCATGTCTGTCAGTTCTTGTGGTGGAGTCAGGCATGTCTGGAAGATGTTGACAATGATGCAGATTTAGCTGGTGCCTTCAGGTGATGAAGGTCCATAACTACCAATACAGGAAGATCCTGCAGTGGGACCATAGGTGAGGGTTGAGCCTGACCCCAGGGAACTTAAATCGTGCCTTCAGATAGCTAAATGCTTGGCCCATAGCTATGAGGCAACAGCTGGGGTGATGACGTAGTAGCTTCTGGAGATGGATGAGGTGTTTCCCCCACCCCAGATTGAAAAAGGAATATGAAGGGAAAATTTAAGTGAAGGAATCGATGGTTAAGCAGAGTGCAGTGCCATCCTGCAGCAGTGGCAGTGACTGTCCCACCTGATGACAAGAGAAGGTGCAAGCTGTCTTGTTTGCATGAGCTTGCTCAGGCTGGACATCAAGAACACATGGGTGTCTTGCAGCTTGCCAGGCTAGCTGGCGTTGCTGTTAGTACAGTATGCCTGATAGTCTAAGCAACTGTCAGCATGGCAGAGTACATCCATACGTGCATCCCTATGGTGCTATCATACACATGGGTGTGTGGGGTAAATGGGAAATAGCAAGCAGCAAACACATGCCTTAGCATCTTGTGAATGCATTTCTTGGAGATGCTGTGTGCCCAAGGCTTTATAAGTCCTCATTTCCCCAGCTCTGAGCCCCCTGGCAGCAGAGTAACATGGGGGATGTGTGTTACCAGTCTCTGAGGCAGCCTCTTCTTTGATGTTCAACCAGATTGTTTGAACATCACCTTCCCCATTCCGAAGTTCTGCCTCCGCTTGTGATCCTTCCACACTTCTACCATGACACTTTGCTGCCAGTCTGCGATCAGTCCCAGGTGGTACATGGAGAGAATGACAAGGTTAAAATAGTTCTTCTTTAGTTTTTATAACTTCTATCTCAGCGGTTTATTCTGTTTGGGGTTTTGTTTTGTTTTTCTGTTATTTCTCTGCTATTTAAGTCATTGAAGGCACTGCCCACTGCAGGATTTTCCCATTATAATTTCCTGCTCTTGCTACCATTGTTTCATTTCTAGCCACAACTCAGTTATAAGCAGCCACTGCCATTCTGATCACCCTGTTGCCCAGCCTGTATCTGTTGATCACCCCAGCCTTTTCTTTGACAGAGATAAAAAGTCACATTTTTAAAAACACATGATCACATGAAAGGTGATTATCATCAAAACACACAATTTAACATGCATAAGCAATATTTAAAGGGTGAGAATTTACCATACTGCCACTATTGTTTTTCTTTTTAAAGCACCATACTATCTGGTCACTGGGTTTTAAGCACAGGGCTATGTGCTGAAAGCTGCAGAAGCTGAGAGCTGCTGTGTGATGCAGAAGCTCAGCTGGTTAGCTGCTTCCAGCAGTTTTCCACTGAGACCTGGTGGATGCTGTGGACTAGGCTGGCTCATCCATCATCAAGCTGCTGTACCTTGCAGCTCTGGATCCATGGAGTTTAATACTGTCCTGTATCTCCCCCCGTAGCTTTGTGTCAAACTTCAGTACTTGGAGTCAGATAAAGCTTTACAGTTTTACTTTAGAGTTCAGGAAAATGCTGAGGGAAGTATTATTGCTAACACATGTAAAATCTTGACCGCTGAAAGCCATTACTCTGCAGACTTGCTTTCAGTAGCGTTAGGTGAAGTTCTGTTCAAAATGCCATTGGCTGTCAGTATGCTATCAGTGCTGCCAGTCATGGGACTGAACAAGTGGGGGTGGCAACAAGCAGTCAGCAAAGGAAAATAAGGAGTATCTCTCAAGTCAGGAATAACTTGAATTTCTGATGTATGCAAGCAAGCAAAAATGCAGTCTTATCCACTCCCTTTTTTTTTTCCTTCCCATCTTTTTCACTTCATACTGTGCCTATAATTATAGGCCTTTTCTAGAAGCTCCACTGGTTTTGAAATGGTATTTTACTGTTTTAAACATTTTTCACATCAGTTACTGAAGTAATAAGGGCGGAATAATGACTGTTTGCCTTCCTGTGTGCTGGCAAATGATTTTTCAACATAATTTCATTTTGCCTGAAGTATAATCTTTATAACAATAGATAGCTGATCATATATTCACTTCTCAGTACCCCTGGAGACAGATTTCATGCTGACCATTTAAATGAGTATTATCATGCAAGTACTAACAAGACCAAGTGGGAATAACTAAGCTATGTGTAGGCGTGAGAACCATAATGATTCTGATAAATTCCCACGTTACAAACCAACCTGTTTGATTTGCTTCAGTACTTACTTTAATGGGAGCAAGGTGATCTAAGAGGAGTTTTGTTGATGCTGCTTTGCCTATGGAAACTATAGAAAAGCTATCTGTAGTGATGGCATTTTACTAATGCGCATTTTTCTCTGGAGCAGTGGTAAGGGAAGGAAGCCAAGTTTAATAACCAGGAACACTACTTTCTCTTTGTTTCATTGAGGCAGTTCTTAAAAACCCAGGAAACTTTCCAGAGCGATACGATAAACTTTTGGATTAATGTGATAGGCTGTTACCCTTTTCCTTATCTATAAAGTCATGCATACCTATGTGATGGGTTACTTTATATATAGAGAGGATTATAAAGTATTTTCCATCTCTGTTGCCTTTAATATCTTCAGGCGATGTATCTAGTTCCAGTCTTGGTACAGATGATTAAGGCCTCGGGCAAACCAAACCAGGATTATTTCATTTTAAAATACACTTCAAAAACTCACACTTGTTCATATGGTATCTTTTATGTTCCTTTGCTCCTGTTTTTCTTTAACTTCAGTCTGTGCTTGCTGGAATGTTAACATTATAAAATAGAAGAAGGGTTTGGAAGCAGTGGAATAACCTCCTTATATTGTATGGTTCCCTAAAAATTACATCAATAAAAATCTAATCTTCGTGCCTTGCAACTATGGTATGATTTTACTGTGATGTATGATATCTTGTTGTGGTTTTCTTCTCTATTTCAGGCCAAACAAACAAAGTAGCCAAGGAGGCAGCCAACAGATGGACTGGTGGGTATGCATTTATATTGCTTAACACAGCTTCAGACTAGGGCAATTTCAGTAAAAGACCTACTCATTGATAAGAATTCTACACTAGATTAGGACCTGATGCAGGATAGACCTCACTTACAAAAGCATGCAGGAATATAGTTTACTTACAAATGATCACGGTTCAAACAAAGAGTATGTTTTCTGAGTTTAGTGACTGAATGTACTTCACATCACATAATGGATTTGTTGTTCTGGTGCAGTCTTGCACACCGCGTTAAGACCTACGATTTGTTTTCTTGATTGAGCTGAAATCTCTTAACATCAGGAAAACACTAACAGAAAGAGACTGGAAATGGCTATGTCCAGGTATTTGGAAGTTTAATTCTCCTGTTTTGAGTTTTTGTCTGTTTCTAAAAAGTAGAACGTTTTGTGGAACCTTAGTGCTGCTATCATATGATGGATGCTAATATAACGTAGGTATTTCTCATACTAATCTGTCGGCTTTGACAAGTCGGAAAAATGCTGCATGGTTTTTAGGATGGTTACTGTGGTAACATTTTCATGGAAGTTTAACTCAATCTTATGTTGTTGCTTAGCTTTGCTATATTGCTATGTATTTCCATTTTGCAGAGCAAGCAATATGTATGTCTTTTTTAATTATTTAGAATATAATTTGTAATTTTTTGGTTAGAATTCATGTACTACTGATAGACTGCTCTCCCTCATTGGTTATGCCAAGTGCAGTAGGATATCACTGTCATAGTCTTTTGACTATTACTACTTTATAACTTCATTTGCACTGGGGATTTTACTGCATATGAGGAAATGAAGTTATGTATTTGAAAATGACTTTGGGAAGTACTATTGTCAGGGCTTTCTACTGTTGATGACAGGCTGTTCTCAAGGTCTTGAGAGAGGTAAAGGAACTATGCCTCAGCCTGTAGAAAGTGCTTTTGCTGTTTAATTAGACAATTAGGTTATGTGCTGCAGCATATTTTTCTTCTCACGAGACAGTTTTAAAACCAAATGTCTGATGGCTAAAGACAAGAAAATATTTCTAAGGTGTATAGGGACAGAGAACACTTCCTGTCTTTAATGAATGATGTAATTTATGGGTGTTAGGAATGACGTAGTGAGTTTCAATCAATACTTCAGCGACAAATTATGTTAAATTGAAAAGGCTGTATATGCTAAAATAATAGTCATGCGATGCTAAAAAGAAGTGCTGACTAAAATAAAACTACTTTTTATCTTTTTAACTTTAAAGCAAAATGTGTGTTATCTGAACAAACAAAAGCAGGACTAGAACGGACCTTGTAGTTAATTTGAATCTTATTTTCGCAGTTGTAGACAGTCACACAGCAGGTGTCTAGTTGAAAAGGGACATAAAAAATACTTATTATGCATATTCACACTTAGCTCATCACTCTACAGCAGGCTTACACTGTAATTGTGCCTTTCAGTCTTCCCATAAGAAAGAAGCAAGGAAAGATTAAGGGAACCTCCAAAAAAAAGGAAGACATATTTTACTTAGTATCGAGTAAAAGGATGTCATTAACAAAAGCCTCCCTTTTTCTGTTCTAAATCTACTTAATAATGATATTCCCCATTACGTACCTTTTTCATCTACACAGAGATAATGCAAATGGAAGGATTTTGTTGTAGCCAAAACTAATTCATGCTTCCCTTAAATACTTAAAACTGGATCTTTTTCATTCTGTTTACAGATAATATCTTTTCAATAAAGTCCTGGGCCAAACGTAAATTTGGATTTGAAGAGAGCAGAATTGACAAAGGTTTTGGAATCCCAGAAGATTTGGATTACATTGATTAGTGTTCAGCAGCTGATGACTGACACAGTTGTACATAGTTTGTTTAAATATTCTCAGTTGGCATTTCAATGTGTAGCTGAATCCTCTCCAAGCAGCTTTATAATTTGCAGGTTTTGTTAAAGTTAATAAAATGATAAAAACATGTTGAATTTCAGTTTTTTCATTGTACTCTGTGGACAGTAAACCTCTTGGTTTCATCCCTGAGACAGACTAAGAATGGGCAGGGGTTATAGGAAATAATTATCACAAAGTCCTGAGACTGGTTTTTACTCTTCTTTTGCTTAAATGGGAGTAGTACTAACAGTGAGAAGCTCCAGGGATTTACATTAGAATATGATGAAGACTTTGAAATGGATACAGCAAGGGACAATAAGGAATACAAAGATTTCCCTTTCCCCCTTTCCCCCCTCCTCCCTCTGCCAAAGAAATCAACAAGAGCCATAATCCATTCATGGAAAATAGTGAGACAGTAATAATATGAATAGAAAAGCTGAGCTCTGATTTCAAGTTGTTCTTTACAAGCAGTCCTAGCAAGTCATAACATTAGGCATGAAATTTTGTTTAGTTTTGGAAAATACTAGTTTATCAGAGCAAAATCTGTTCCAGTGCATGTGCTGGATTTGACACTGAGAAAGTGTCAGTAGTCAAGATTGTTGCTGCAAAGAAGGAGCAAAGACCACCCATACATGCATTTGCACCACAGTACACCAAGGTTTAGGATGCTAATCTGGGATGTGGGAGACTGAATTCAATTTCATAGAATCATAGAATAGTTAGGGTTGGAAAGGACCTTAAGATTATCAAGTTCCAACCCCCCTGCCATGAGCAGGGACACCTCACACTAAACCATATCACCCAAGGCTTCGTCCAACCTGGTCTTGAACGCTGCCAGGGATGGAGCATTCACAACCTCCGTGGGCAACCTATTCCAGTGCCTCACCACCCTTACAGTAAAGAACGTCCACCTTATATCCAATCTAAACTTCCCCTGTTTAAGTTTTAACCTGTTACCCCTTGTCCTCTCACTACACTCCCTAATGAAGAGTCCCTCCCCAGCATCTCTATAGGCCCCCTTCAGATACTGGAAGGCTTCTATGAGGTCTCCACGCAGCCTTCTCTTCTCCAGGCTGAACAGCCCCAACTTTCTCAGCATTTCTTCATACAGGAGGTGCTCCAGCCCCCTGAGCATCCTCGTGGCCTCCTCTGGACTTGTTCCAACAGTTCCATGTCCTTTTTATGTTGAGGACACCAGAACTGCACACAATACTCCAGGTGAGGTCTCACGAGAGCAGAGTAAAGGGGCAGGATCGCCTCCTTTGACCTGCTGGTCGCACTCCTTTTGATGCAGCCCAAGATAAGTTTGGCTTTCTGGGCTGTGAGCGCACACTCCAGCCAGCTCATGTTCATTTTCTCATTGACCGCACCCCCAAGTCCTTCTCTGCAGGGCTGTTCTAAATCTCTTCTTTGCCCACCCTGTAGCTGTTGGTGGGATTGCTCCGACCAAGGTGTAGGACCTTGCACTTGGCATAGGTAAACTTCATGAGGCTGGCATCAGCCCACCTCACAAGCGTGTCAAGGTCCCTCTGGATGGCATTCATTCCCTCCAGCGTATCGACCGAACCACACAGCTTGGTGTCATAGGCAAACTTGCTGAGGGTGTGCTCAACCCCACTGTCCATGTCACCAACAAAGATTTGCTGTTCAAAACTGAGCATTTTGGGGTTTATGTACACTTTTCAATTTCAGGGTAAAAAGGCAGCCATCCAAAATAACAACAGATTTCAGAATGCCTCGTTTTTGCTCGGTGACATTTCACAAGTTTACTTCTAGCTCTGATTGGTGTGTGGCTACAGAAGACAGGGGCAGAGAATACAGCCTGGTCTTGTACCTCCCATAGTTATGAATTGGAAGATGGCATTTCTGCTGTACAACTACAGGATATAAGCTTTACCTTTTGGAGGCAGGTGGTAGATGTGTGTATCACTGAAACGTGACTGTCTGCCTTTTATGCAACCTCTGAGAAGAGCATCACTGAAAAGGTGACATTTAACTGGAGATATGCGCAGAAGACAAGCTGTCTCCCGTGACCTTTCCAGTTAAACAGTTTCCTATCCGCTCAGTGCACATTAAAACCCAAGGATTTCAGATGTGCCCCTGCTATTGTCATCTCATCTATGAAGACAGCAAGGTTCTTGGGAAGATACCAAGTGGAAGATTTTCATCTCATAGAGGTAGCATAGTGGGCTATCTATTGGCTAAGGAAAATGTGATGCCTGGCACATAAATGTAATGACAATAAAATGTCACTGTCCTCACAACTGTAATTGCAACATTTCCTTCTTTGTGTTTGGGAAGATTTTAGTCCTAATATATCTAATACTTAATGTATAACATCTTACAAACTGATTAAGAGCTTACCAGCTGCTAAGTGGTAAAAGTTAAATGCAAGCAGGTAGCATGGAGCAGAGTGCAGCTAAGTGATGGTGCCAAGCTAAAGTATTGATGCACATGTAGCTTGGGTGGTTGTTCTTACTCTTCTCTGTGTGATGTGAAACTCTAAAGAAAGAGTTTTATCTGTAGAATCTAAGTGATTTTTTTGTCCCCTAAATGTCTTTTTTTTTCTGTAAATCTCTTCTGTATCATCTGACACGTGTAGGAATCTGCATTTGAGAGCGCGTATCTGCCACACATGAGAGGATGACTCAGAAGGCTTATTCGTATGAAGGAACGCTGGGCACGTGAACTTGCTGGTGGTTCTCACCTCTTAGAATCAGTTTTTTACATGACTAAACTTCTCCTCCTCAAGGAGCCGCAGGTAATTTATGGCCTGTAGCAGTTAGCGCACTGCGACATCGGCCTGTGTGGATGAGGGTTTCTTGCTGACTTTTACTGCTTTGGCTCCTTTCCAAATTCAAGAAGGAAATGAAGATGACTAGCTATGTAAGTTTAGCTGCAATATTGTGGCTTCCTGTCTGTAGGGTGAGAGCACTGTGGACTGTAATAAAACCATGAAGTATAATAAATAGCAACTAAACAACTGTACTTGAGGTTGTTTTGAGGCTTGCTTAGAGTTGCTACAGTCGACCAGCATGAGCAGTACCTTTTAAAATGTCAAACACAGCCCTGATGCTTTGAACACAAAACTTTAGTTCAAGTGCAATGAATTTATAGTAATGAAGTCTTCAGTAGAGTTTTGGGTTTGCTTTACAGGTACAGGATAGAACACAGACGCACAGTCGTACCCTGTTTTCTGCTCCTCTCTCCTACTCCTGGTGTTGGTTAGCCAGCCTGGCGGGAGAATGTATGTCCTCCTGTAAGGACACAGTTTTGAAAGAACCACAACAGAAATTTCTCAGCTAAAGAGAGGCAGGGAATAGGTAGCGCATTGTCACAAAATGATGCCTATTCCTCTAGTGAAATAGATTCTTGCGTTACCTTTCTCATGATTCACTTTTACTGTAGGTGACTTTCAACAGGAAAAGCAAATCGAGATCTTTTCTGAGAGAAAAAGACAATTTGTACGTCTTGAATATTCCAAGACATTTTCGGACTGCTGCATCTGCTCACTTTTGGATGCTTTTCTTCTAAAGAAGATATGCGGCAGTCTGCTGAATCCCACAGTGTGAAGCCACGTACAACGTTCTGGTTTGAGTTGTGTGTTCTCTTTCATTTTTAAAAGAAGCTAAGGCTTTTGTTTTCTGCTGAGTTAAAAATCACCAGCAGTTAACACGATTTTCCTTCTCCTGAGATGTATTTGACTATTATAACAAAAATGAAAACACTCAATTGGATCTTCTGTCCCAGTTTGTTTCTTTAGACTCTTACTGAGATAGAATCTGGAATACTTCTAAAGAATGTAGCATGGAAATGATGGGGTTTAAACACTCACTTCTGCTGTCATTCTTGTGGTTATGTCACAGCTATATTATGTGTATGCCTTCCTCTTTTTTCTTTTTTCTTTTTTATTCTGCTCTGTAGGATTTTTGCCCAAGTAAGGTAAACACTTTCAACCGTTACAGTTAAGCCAGGAGGTCAGGCCCCTGCTACAATTCAGGTTTATAACTGCAGCAGCTACTAGTGCAAAGTGTGAAAATCAAACACAGTTGTTCTTAGCAGAGTCTGCAGCTCTCACAGGAGCAGTACCAGGTCCAGCTTTTCAAACTAATCTTCTGGGGAGTTTATCACTACAGCACCAGGCTGAGCTGCTGGGTAAGCATGTTCTTTGGGTGCGATTCTGATTAGCCACTGTGAAGCAAACCTAGACACAGGAGAAACCTAGACACTGTATCTGCCCTGAAACAACCTATTTTTCGTCAGCTTTTCTTTTAACTAGCCATCTGCCTGCTCTGTACAATGCCAAGCATGAGCTCCTGGGCTCCATTTGTGGTACTCACAGAGCATTAAACTGTTAGCAGTCACCGAGGTTTAGGTTTTGACGTAGTTCAGCTGCTAAACCCTTCATTAATTCATCCTCTGAAATGTCATTACTTTTTGGGGTTGTAGTTACCTACATGTTTTAATAGGGAAAATCCAGGCTCTGAAGCAAACAGCACAGTGACGCCGTGACCAAGCGGCAAAGCTGGAACTGAAACTTACTGAGAGAACAGTGCAAAAAGAAACCCAGCCTGTGATGTAGACTAAGAAGTTTGATACAAGAGCTCCTTAGAGAGTCCTCCTGTCACCTGGGCTTATTTCCATGAGCCAGATGATCTGGCTGGTGCTTATCTTCACTTGTTTCTTGTAGTGATGAGGTTTGTATGATTATGTTTTTTTGTCATTTCTCTCCTCCTTTTCCCTCCCCGTGTTCTTAAATTTCACAGTGGATTTCAGCCAAATTCAGTCTGAGGCCCTGCAGTGAGAGCTCACGGTTTATCTGTTCTCCTTGGCTAGCTGCCTGATAAATATGGGCTTTCCCTTTCTCACCTGCCAGTTTAGGGACCTGATAAGGGGTAGAGCACACGGGATGGAAGAAGGAAGGAAAAATGTCAAAGATGGCTGTAAAAGACCAAGAGCATTTAGTTTCTGCTGGTGGCGGAGTTTATGTGAGGGCAGCCTTGCTGGGGCTGAGTTAGGAGACTGTGAGAAGGAACAGGGATCTAGGAAACTGGTCTCTTGGCAGACAGACTTCATTACTTCTGCTGCTCATGATTATTAGTCTAGGGGTTTGTGGTGCTATAAATTTACACAAGGCTTTGCTGAGACAGCAGTTAGGTGTCTTGCCTAGTCTACAGAATCAGCATGCCCCAGAAGTGCACATGCCTGCTAGCTTCAGCAGCTGCAGTCCTTGGCTAATCCTCAGTGTCAACAGGCAAGTGGACTCTTCTAGCTGCCATCTAGAAACCATGCTTGTGTAAGTATTCTTCTGCTTAAGGGATCTGCTTCACAGCAATGATATCCTTTCTCTTCAGCTTCCTTTTTTCCTTGTCCCTTCTGCGGTTTCTCCTCCACTGTCATTTCCCTTTCAGATCTGCTTACAGAAACCACGTAGGCTGAGCGAGCAAAGCACTGCAGTCTGTACAGATGGTTGTCTGTCTTACTCCTCCGCTTGCTGACATGCCTTTCAGCATGCACACCTTCCAGTGCACAGGCATATAGGAAGGCAAGCATCTATGCTTTAGCCTTGCCTCTTTAAACTGCATGTGCAGAAGGTTGCGTGTCAAGAAGACTAAAGAAGGCAAAACCAGCTGTGAACACCACCACAAGCACCACTGAACTTTTCAGGGTCACTTCAGAAGCTTTATAATGTCCTACAAGTGAACAAGGAATTCTTATGCTATGGACAATGTGGTCATCTGGTCATTATTTCACCCTAATCTAGTCAGGAATATTTTCCTCTTGGAAAAAAATAACCTTGGTTAAGTATTTATAAAGAACAGCTTTCAAGCAATACCTGCTGGGCAATTTTCTGTTTCAAGTCGTTTGATGAAAACCCAAGTTATTCTGAGAAACGAAGTGCCTTTCCACATGAAAGGCTTAATTCTAACTGAAATAGCCTGTCCTCTTGTTTCAGAAACCCTGACTGGTCTGTTGGCAACCATCTCCAAAGTAAATCCTGTAACCAGCACAAGGGGCACCTTTCTTCAGGTGGGGTGATGAAATTCAACTGTGCCACTGCTGACGCTCAAAAGGAAAATCCATTAAAAAATATGGCTCCTAGGGAAAGCCAGGGGAGGAACAGATTGTGTCTGAAGTGAAAAGGGCCCGAGTTACCACCCGCACACCAAACCCGCATCTTACAGGCACCCACCTCTTTCCTTGCCCACCTTTGTTCCTGTTACCTGTGTTCAAGCTCTGCCTCAGTAGCATTCCAGAGATCACATTCTTATGCTGAGGTGCAAAATTGTTTGGGTTTTTCTCATTTATGCAGTCTACAGTGGGAAAAAGATAATATTATTATTTCTTCCCCTTTCTGTTAAGAAAAAAAGGGAGGAGAGGAAAAAGTCAATCACACCATGTTTTCCTGCGTTACCGTTACTAGCTACGCAAAATAACGCCTCTGGCTGATCCAAGCATTCTGGAGGATTTTTAAAGCAAGATGAAAGTCAGATTTTCGTATCTTGTTTTCAGTTTTTTAGAGAAATTAATTGGCTACTGAGTTGGATAATTCTCCCCTCCCTATTACTCAGTACTTGGTCAAAGACATAATCCAGTGGCAGGAATGCTTTTTGATTAATTTTTTGCATGCACATCAATTAATCATTATAATAAATTCTAGTCCTCTGTGGGCTTTCTTTCCCCCTAAAATATACTCTAGGGAATATGCTTTTGACTATGTTTTTAAATGTCAGTCAGTTCCTGAGATCACTGATTAAAGAAACCAAAGTCAAGGCTCTGTAGCAGACTCATTTGGTAGTCCATGGTCATTAATATTGTATCTATTTGAGAAGGATATAACACTGAGAAGAAATAACACTGAAGAAAATGATACCAAGGGCTCCAAAGCGTGTGTCTCAGTATCATCTGGTGAAAGGCGAGCAGCTTTATTTTTACTTTTTTACTCTTCACTGATTTCAATGAGGTGTTTATTGTTAGCATCCTCAGCTGTTAAAGAAAATAAAGGGAAGAAGAGCCTGGATGATACGTTCTGGTTTTGGTATAACTACTGGCAAAGGTTCAGCAAGTACTTTGTTTTAACAGATATTTTGAACAAATCAGCTTCAAATCCATCTTCAGAGTCCATCAACTTTTTCTGGTCCTTTCAAGTAAAGGTGTAACAGAGGTACTGGTTTACTGTTCTGTCCTTAGATCGGACAGAATGGTAACAATGAAAACAGTTAAAATAATTCAAAACCAAAACAACTGAAAATGTTTTGTTCAAAACTGGGTAGCACATGTTTGAAGCTGTCTCTTTCTTTCTGAAAAGACACCAAAAAACAAACCCAAACCCCCAAATCAAGCCAGGAGCCCTTTCTTTAACCTAGGAAAGCCATGCATGTCTGAGTAGGGCATGTGCATTCGCTCTTTTGAGTGGGCATGATATAAAATCTGGGGTTGCATGCATATTTTCATTCTTCTTATTCTTCTTTGATGCTTATGCTAGTTACTGAAATTCAAAGTTTCCTGTTAAGCGTCCTTTACTGATATGCAAATGTGGCTGTTAACTTGAGAGGAACTTGGGAAATGAAAAAGGGGAATTTAATTTGGAATTTTTTGTTCTTTGTAGGCTTTCTCCTCATCAGTCTTAAGCCAATGGAGCGGGCATTGTGTGACCTCTGTTTTGGACCCAATCCCTGAATTAGAAAAATATAAATGAAAAGCACTGATTCCTAACTTACTGTGTAACTATCTCCTATACCAACCCCCCAGCGGCATTATCCAGCTGTTGGTAAGGAGCAGATGTAAAACAACAGTGACAGGTCTTTGTAGACGTTTTTGCCTTTTTCTGATTACTACTGCTGGTTAGTTTGTCTCTGTCCTGAATTAGGGCCAGAGGGAGGAGGGTTCACTGCTTAAAAGCACTATCAAGAGCTACACTTAGATCTACATTTGATAGCAGTTCTTCTCTCAGTCTTTCTAGACAAATTTATTTTTGACATAGTAACCCTAACAAACGCTTATCTTGGCGAGTGAGTGGTGAATAATTGTGCTTTTTCATTGTAAATGAGTCCATAACAGTGTATGCAATCTTTTTCAGTTAAATACAACAATTCAGAGGACCAAGCTTGCAGGTGCGCTATGGGGTCACTAAAAGAAACCATTTGTTGTCAATCCATCTACTTGACAATGTGTGGGGTTTTCTTAAGGTAATATATTTCAGGAGCTTTCGTTTCCTTCAGCAAGCCAATGCCAATGGTTGTGTCGTGTATGGGCAATGGCAGTGATAGTGGGATACATACCCTCAACTTTTACTGAAAAGAAAGAAGTTTTGCCAGGAAGCGAGCACAGTAAGAACCTTGCGAGCAGAATCAGTGTACCTGAAGAAGAAACATTCTCCAGTAGAGATGTTAGAGCAGATCCCAGTATCTAAAGGGGGCCTACAAGAAATCTGGAGAGGGACTTCTTACAAGGGCATGTAGTGGCAGGACAAGGGGAATGGCTTTAAACTGACAGAGGGGAGATTTAGATTAGATGTTAGAAAAAATTCTTTACTGTGAGGCTGGTGAGGCCCTGGCACAGGTTGCCCAGAGAAGCTGTGGCTGCCCCTTCCCTGGCAGTGTTCAAGGCCAGGCTGGACGGGGCTTGGAGTAACCTTGTCTAGTGGAAGGGCTGGAACTAGACGAGCAGGGGGCTGGAACTAGATGAGCTTTAAGGTCCCTTCCAGCCCAAACCAGTCTGTGATTAAGTCTTTACAGCTTGCTTGACTTCTGCGTACTTTGAAGAGCATCCACATCTGGTTGAGGTAATTTACTTTCTCATCCACTTGTGCACTCACATCCTGCACAAGCCCAGAGTTCGCCTCTCATCTTTCTCCACCTGACAGGTGTCATCTTATCTTGGGTTGTGGCTGTTAGAGGCTGGCCCTGGGAGCTTGTGCTGCAAGGTTCTCCTTCCAGCGCTGCGGGTGGCTGTGAGCCCAGATACTGCTCCTTGGTTACTGGTGTGCGGAGAAGAGCCTTGTTTCTGTCTGGAAAGCTGAAAACCTCTTGATAGCCTTGCATGGTAATTTTTGTGGCAGTGCTAGTACGACATTATTCCCTTTATTTTAGAGCTCATATCCACTTACTCTGTCCCTTTGAAGTCTGAAATTCAGATAATGCATGTGTCTGGCCTCCTGTCCCTCAGCATTCAAGGTCTAGGAGAAGCAATAAAAATGGAAACTAAATTCAAAACAGAGTAAAGGCTGAAGATGAGGGTAAGGAAAAAAACCACCTCATGTCTTCTACTCTGAAGTCAATGTTTTAACACTATGTGTTGAGAGAGACCCTAAAAACATCTTCTGTACCTCATGCTGAATCCCAGATCAATATAAAATGGCTTTTTTTCTTCACAGAGGATGAGTATTATCACTTGCAGTCTCACGCAGCTACCTCCAAGATGGGAAACCTTGGGGCAATATACACAAGGAGCTTTTATTTGCTTGCATTTCCATTTAACAAGAATGAAAATTTTAGGTGCCAGTGACTTCATGCTTGCAATAACCATTATTATAATGGCTTTTTATTCCCTGCTGCAGAGGGATACTCTCTGGCTGTGCAAGGTAGTACCTCCTCTTCCTTTAGGACTTGAGATACCTTGGTGGAAATTAACCCTTTCACTGTGAAGAGCAGACTTGCAAGGTGATGGGCCCATCTTAAAGGTCACAGCTTTTCCTGGCTTTTTGAGATCAAAGGGCTGGGATAATGCAAAAAGCCCTCCAAGCTCAATGTAAAAGGGTGACCTGTTTCTGCTTTGGCTGGAGTAAATCACAGACGGGCAGTCTGGGGTTATGTGTTTGTTTCAGCGTATGCCAGATTTTACAGATGAGGTTAGTTGCTTTTATCAGCAGTTTCCTCACTGCTGGTGAAGGAAATATTTGCCACCAAGGTGCGCAATCAGCATCATGGTAACCCTTGGGGCAGCAGGCATTTCTCAGTTGGGGAATGAAACCCAAGCTCCTTCCTAGTAAAAATGAATGACACAGAAGAAAATGGCAGGTTAATCAAATTAACTCATGGAGGGGTGCCCACCAGCCTCTAGCTTTTGCTCATTGAGAGATGCAGGGCCAGCCAGCATGGCTGAAGCTGTATTCTGGGAGAAACTTTCTTTCAAGGCCCCTGCCCACAGCTTTGAAGGTCATAAAGGCACAGTGATACGAAGATGTGACAGCTCCATTTAGCATGCTATTCCATGCCAGTTTAAAACGTGTTACTTTGGTTCTTCAGACCATATGATCGGGTTATCATCCCAGTTAGGGGAATGAGATGCTGCCGGTTCGCCATCCTTTAAAAATAAGCTCTGTACCATAAATGCTTTCTTGTTATTCTCCAAATCAGTTTCCATGGTAACTGTCACTGGAACAATCTTTTTGTCGATGAAAAGGAGGAAAATAATTTCCTTTTTAGGAATCCTCTGCTCAGCCTAGTAAAATTCCCTTTTTACTTGAACCCTATTCACCTCTAGGGAATCGGGATTCTTTCCTTCATTCACCTCCACCAACTGTGCCCTGGGTTTCACCTCCACAATTTCCATCTCCCACTCCTTTTTGCCTTCTGAGTTGAAATTGGTACCTTTTTGCCTCAGGGGTACAAATCTGGGAGGTTTGTGCTACAGAATTCTTGGTGTGTGGCTTCCATCTTACCTTTCAGCTAAAGCTGCTTCACTTGCACACCCTTTTTATCAACCAGATCTGGGAGGAGTGCAATCCAGGATGATGCAGGATACTGGCCTTTTCTTCCTTGCTGATGCTTTCTTATGTCTCCGTCCCAGGACATGTTTCAGCCAGAGCAGCACTTGATGCCAAGGCAGAGCCTTGAATCTGCTGTACACCGTGGAGCTTCTCTGGAGGAAAGCTTGTGATGGCTCAGAGATTAGTCATGCAAAGCCTCTGTGAACAATCCTCAAACACCACGTGCTTTGTAATGTCTTTCTGCAGAAACAGCTGTCGTGTGTTGAAATGAAACGTGAGATGCAGCTTCAGCCCACTGTGGAGAAAAGCATCTCTCTGCAGCATCAGAGGGCTTCCAGACTGAAGGCGGTTTGTTGATAAACGTGCCTCCACCAAAAGCAACTTAAAGCACAGCTCCATTGCAGACCGGCCTCTGGAAGGGACTAGCCTTAGTGTCTCTGCATTAGCATCATAAACAGTACTGCTAATTCTTTTATTTCTTTCTTATGCCCCCATTTTACCTGTGAATTAAGGAAAAGATCATACTCCACGGGGCAATTTCTCTAACTGAAGCTTTCCTGGCGTGCTTCATGCACAACACGATCTCTTTTTCTCCTGGCCCCTCAGCAGGTTATTGAGTGTTTTTCAGCATCTGCCTTGACATCCCAGGGGGATTGGAATACAGCTCTGCTAAGTAAATCATCCTTTAATGCAGAGGCAATTGAGCCTGGTTCTGAATACAGCAGGAATATGCAAACTAGATGAAAGTCATTTTGCTTACTGCTGTTTTCAGAGCCCCAAATACCTTGGATACAATCTGGGATCTCAACAGCGACTGGCTGTAAAGCAGTTTTGTTTTGTTTTTTTCTGAATAACTGCATTTGGAGTTGACAGAAGCCTTGTGTCCTTTTTCACTTTGAGGATCAGTCTCATCAATTCAATGCTTTTGAAGGATGGATGCATTATCTTCAGCTACTTAAAGCAGAAATCCAAACAAACCAACTACCAAGTTTAGTCCGTTATGCTGTTTCTGGTTTGGAATGGGAGGGTTTTCCAGGAGAGTTATAGGTGAGTTTGCTCTCTTTTTCCTTGAGAAAGCTGCATCCTCTGTTTTCTTTTCACACACTGGTCATGCCAAATAGGATAAAAAAATACCTTGAATTTTTCCCCAATGGAATGGGTGTAAATTGAATGCTTAGATTTGTATAAAGCAAAGAAAGATAGCCCTGCTCTCTTGCTAAAGAATCATGAGTTGGCATAAAACCTAGATGTGTCTCTTTGTAGGTTAAGAGTTACAGTATGTCCATGCAAACTCTTACCTCAGGTTGCTAGGACCATGAATCACGTGGAATATATGATTCTGGTATTTTCCTTGCACAAAAAACTGACCTTTTAGAAATACCATCCTGTCCTCCTTGCTCTTGCACATCACATTAGAATGTAAATATATAATTAATTTTAGAACATTTTCTCCTGTGACTTTTTTGACCTTTCAGTTTAATGTAGTTTCTGTTGGTAAGATGATTACTCAATGAATGCATTTAATTGTTTTTGTTGCATATATTTGCATAATTGCAATTGCATGGCCACAGATAAACCCAAGTAGTAAGGCACCCATTCAGAAGTTTGCATCGAGTCGTGATCTACACCTTTATATGCTCAATTAAGAGAAAATATTATGTCAACAGACAACATAATTCCTTTAAACAGTATTTTTAGCTTGAGTGGTATCGCGCTTTTATATCCATGTAATTTACTGTCCCCCTCTCTCTAGTCCCGTAGCTCGTGTTCTTCACACATGGCACAAATGTATTTTCAGGCTTAAACTTTCACCCTTTTTTGCTGTAGGAAAAGCGGTTATATATATCTGTCCTCTTGGTGTTTCGGGGACTCGCAACAGTGATTAAATTGCCTCTTGAGGTTCTTATGCTAACAGTTTCTAGCCTCTGTGAAGGAATATTATTAGCATGAGTTCTACTTAATGATTCAAAATGTTTAACTTAATTGTAGACAAGAAAAAATGTTACTTGGTAAGTTGTGGGGTTTTGTTCTACTGCACTGATGAATGCACACAGATGTGAAAGCCAGTTGGCCTGCTCCTGGACCTGAGGAGTTTGATGACTGAGAACAAGGTCCTGGTGTTACCCCATGTACATGAAAAGGGGTTTGCAGTGCCTTGATGTGAGAGCATGGGGTTGATGAACCACCCTTCTATAGCATGGAGACCAGACATGGGGAAGAAAACATTGGCAGATCGTAGAATCACAGAATGGTTAGGTTTGGAAAGGACCTTAGGATCAAGTTCCAACCCCTCTGCCATGGGCAGATGTTGGCCTTGTGGCATTTGAGCTTCTCCTCAGGTTGGATAATGGGCTTTGGGCAGCTGAATGGTGCTCCAGGCTGCTGGAGCAGTACTGGATAATGCCTGTGGGAAGTCAAACCTACCCATGGGACTTCATGCTGATTTTTTTCTTCCAGGACATGGATAAGTCTGCTCAGCTGAGCCACAGCAGTGGTAAGCAAGGAACAGGTAGGTGGATACCCACCACCTCACAGACCTCAGCACGCAGCAGTAATGAGCCCACGCTATAATTTTGGCGCTATTTCTTTGAACTTGCTACTCAGTTTTAACAACTGAATGGGTCTCAAAAATGGAACAGAAGTGAGAGTGAGGGGCCCTGAACGTCCCACAGAGCTTCTGCAGTGGGTATTCACCCTTGGCTCTGGGCCCCACACATGCAGCTTGAGGGCAGGGCAGAGGGGCAGGCACTGTACCCACCGTGCAAGCAGGGACTCAAGCCCCTGTGGGGCCTGCAATGGGAACATGTGCTGTCCATCACCAGGCAGGAATGCTCACAGCTGCAGGAGGCTGTCGCATCGCCAGGCAGCCTCCCTATGCCCCTCTATTAGCCTTCCCCCTCACAATAATAATGCACTCAGAAGTCGTTTAGCTGTAGGGTTGCCATATAAATTTCCTTAGTTTAAAAATGGCACTTTTGTAACCTGCAGGGGCTATATCCCCAGCTGGGGTTAAACAGGGTGTGTGTTGTGTTGCCTGCCTTTTGACATGTGGGAATAAGCTAGTAGCTTGTTAACAGTACCTATCAAGTGGGAGAAGAAAAGTGGCTTTAAACCCAACTCTGGCGAGGAGAAAAACTAAATGGAAAATATGCGTTTTTAATATGCCACTGGGTAAATTTATAAGAGCAGAACAACATTCGTTGTAACCTGATATCCCTCAGGAATGAGGGAAAAGCTGACTGCTTGCTCCACTGAGCCAAAAAATAAGCAAACATGTAAGTGCAAGTGTGCAGTCAGCAGCATAAGGAATAATGCTTCAGAAAGCCGGGAGCAAAGCCAGAGTGTTGCGTGTTAGAAGGCTAACAGTTTCACACAGAAACACAAACTATTACTTGTAACCTATTTGTATGATAGCCTTCAACATCCTAAAGAAAGTCCCAATCCTTCTGCATTTACCCAGCCCCCAGGTGGCTGTTTTGGCAGAAGCTGAGGAAATACTGCATGTTAGCCATCTTATGACTTCTCGATGGAAACTGAACAGATTTTGGATGTAAACATGTAATTCATTAAAATAACCAGAATGTATTTCCTAGGATGGGTAGGCTGGTTCAGAGGTCTGCCTGTTCAATGTTTTATCAAGCTCTTTGCAGCAACACTGCAGTTGAGTGTCACCCAGCATACACAATAGGTTTGGGAAAGCAACCCTGCATGGCCTTCAGTCACCCAGCATGGTATATTTTTGGCATGGCACGCAGAGAATTAGGCACCCAGCTCCTGTGGCTGGTGGGATCCCCATGGCTCCTCATCCAGGCTGTCCTGGAGCTGTACCGCTTCCCGCTCAGCTGCAAGGGCTGTGCTGCTGGGAATAGCTGGTGAGAGAAGGGCCACAGCCCCTGGCATGTCAGCCCAGCAGATGAATGCATGCACATCCCTAGGAAAAGGGCAGAAGTGCTGTGAGGTGAAGCCCTGCGCATCAGAAATGTACTCCCCATAGGAATTCAAAGTACTTGCAATTATTTGGAAGGAGGCTGTACAAGTGCCAGTGTTGTTTGCAGAAGACAATGAGAGCGATTACAGTTGCAGGAAATTGCAGATGTTCTGCAAAAAGAAATAAACAAAACTAAAATTGCTTTCTGAGAAATAAAAAAATCTTCAGAATGTCCAAATCATCTGTTTTTTCTGCAATGCTTTTCTACATAGCATCTGCAAATGGATTAGAAAGTCATCAGTATCCAGGCTGATCCCCGGCTACAGGAATAAGAGAAAAACATTGCTCTTTCTGCTTTTCCCAGGGCATCCCTGCTCCCCGCTCTGCTCTGGGATCCAACACACGGGAAGGGTTTCTGCAGAGACCGCTCCAGAAATCAAACCATGTCAGGTGAGGGGAGCAGTGTGGCTCCTGGGCACCCATGCCTGCCATCCTTGGAAGAAGCATTCATATTCACACGTGACATTTGACGTCACTGGTCAACTGGGGCCCTGAAGGGGACTTCAGTGCCCTGTATCTGTCATGAGGTAGTCAACTCTCACCTAGGATTTCCCTGCTCTAAGTAATATAGGCATCCAGAACGGACTGTTGTTGATGCTATGGGTTGAGCTTGAGTTCCGTCATCCTTCCCGTTTCCATGTCAGACAAATTGTAGTGATCCATCTTAGCCTGCTGCCCACCCCACTGCTCCCCACATAGCCCAGGTGCAAGCCAGTGCCTTTCCTTGTCCCCTGTTAAAACCAGCCCTGACAGGAGTAAAGCCAAATGCCAATGTTTTGGGATAGTCAGGAAAACTTTGTAGTATCAAGTCCTAGTCCTCAGCGACACATTTATGTTTTCCCTTGTAGTACTCTGGCTGTCCTTTTCCCTACAAGATTAGGCCCTCACTAAATTTACTCACAGCAAGGTGCTCGGGAAGGGAGCTCAGTAAGAAAACTGATGGCAGCAGCTGTGCTACTCATCTGGAAACAGGTGAGGCGAGAAGACACTCATGCCCAGGGGTGATGTCCCCTCATCATAGTTCTCATGTGGCAGACAGTGACCCCCACCCTGGCTGGACAGCCTGACCTGCACATGCATCATGATGCACTGGAACCGAGCACGGCAGCGGCAAGCCCCACCAGGTTCTTTGGGAATATAAAAGAAAGAGGGGACCTTAAAGCTGTGGCAGGAAAAATCCCTGGTACTTCACAAAGTGCATGTGACGTGGTTTTTCCAGGTTACCTAAACCCCCCCTCGGCTTCAGATGGAAGTGAAACTCTTACTCATGGTCAAAACTGGAAGGTGGGGGGAATAACTTCACACAGCAGCATCTTTTCCTCAATCTGCTTATTCAATCAAATAACTGCAACTCGCAGGTTTCCAATTGCTCCCCTAACTGCCCTCTGGCCTGTACCATAAAGAAATAAACACATGCAACCTCTTTTTCTTGCAGCAGAACATCTGTGACCCATTAACATCTGATGCCGGGATGCAAAGCCAGCTTTGGAGCCAGGCCTGAAGCACAGCTCGGGCAAAGCAGTTGTTCACTTCTCTGTGAGTTTGGCATTGCTGCTCTCTAATATTTTATCAGCATGTTTATTTTTGTTATAGTAGCACTCCAGGACTTCAGCAAAGAGCTACAGCAACATTTTACTGTGTTTAAGTAATCTTTAAACAGTAGCAGTTCCAATTTGGGTGTATTTTGAAGTCTTTCTTATTTCTGTGCTGTGTTTTTTCAATGTCATCAGTGCCTCTTCCTCCCCCAGCTGCATCTGTATGCACGTGGAACTGCTGCATCTTTGACAGCTAAGATTCTTTCTGGCATACTGAGACACTGAACTGATTCTGGTTTACCAGAATTTGGGCTAAAATTTCCCATGCCCATTATGTACCTCCAACTAGTTTATTTTTCTCATTTTTAGTTGCAGTGAAAAGCAGCTTGGCTGGACTGAGGTTAAGTAAAACTACATTTTACCCCTATTAAAACCTTCCAGAGCTACTGAAGTTGAAAATTAAACAGTAACTTCACCATGGCTCGCACCATCTACGTTTTTGTTCCATCAAGCTTTGCCCGCATCTGTGCCCCACTGAAATACTGTGGGCTTGTGAACAAGATGCAGCCCACAGACATGATGCGGCTCTCCAAGGGCTGCCTTGGCACCGGGGTGCATCCGGCTTTCACTGACAGCATTTGTCATGCTGTGAAATCCTATTTTACTGTTTTATTTCTAAACCCACTCAGGCCCAATGGCTTTTCACAAAGCTCGTGTTTATTATACCTGTTTGCTACAGACTGTCCTTTTGATCTGCTTATGGGCATCACTTTCCCTGGAAGTGCTCAAAATCCATGTAGATGAAGCCCTCAGTGATATGGTTTAGTGGTGGACTTTGCAGTCCTGGGGTAATGGTTGGACTTGATGATCTTAAAGGTCTTTTCCAACCTAGTTGATTCTATAATCCTATCACATAGCTTACTTGATCCATAAAGTGCTGTTTTCCATGGGTCATTCCTAGTTTTACATAGGTCTCCCTCTGCTTATCTCTTTCTGGTGACTGAGGTGGCCGAGAGGCTGGGGCTTGTGGCTGAGCACCAGGGTTTTACCAGGAAAGTCCTACAAGGTGAGCCATCGCAGCCCGAGGATGCAGGTGACCTTCACAGCCCAAGCAAGGTGGCATGTGTAGGGTGGATGCTCATTTCTGGGACTCAGTGGTATGTTTTCCTCTCACCTTAAGATGTTAGTGGTGCAGTTTATCACTGTATTTATACAAATGACATACTCTTGCCTAGAAACGGTGACAGGCAGGGTCGCACATTGAAAAATCAGTGCTTTTTGGAATGCTCAGCTTTACTGATGCCTGTTTTGCAGGCATTTCTCTCAGCTTGTAGATAGCATAGCTCTGCATTAAATGCAGCCTTTTGCTCAGCTCAGGGATGTGTAAACAGCTTGCACCCGTGCTAGGCTGCAGGTTGGAGCTGCAGCAGAAGCTGGACATCTCCTCATGGCACTGCTCACGGCACTGCTGCCTTGTCCCTGTTTGCTTTTATTGTGTGCGCTCCAGGTGTTGTTTTCTTTTATTCACAGCAGCTTAGAAATGCACATAGCAATGGCTTAGAAACCATTCCAGAGCAAGGGAATAAATATGCAGGGGTACAAATCTCAAGGGCAGGGAAAAATTAAGGATGCTTTTCTTCCTTCTGGTACAGGAGTGCTGTTCAGCAATAGAAACTCCACACGCTCCCCAGATTTTCTTCTCCCCCTCTCTTTTGTGCCTGTGTACCGCAGGGGCACTCAGAGCAGTGTGTCATGTTTTCTACATGATGCCATCACTTCAAACCGTGCAGTGAACTCATGGGTTTAGGGAGCTCAGCGTCATTGTCTCTGAAGCTTTCAAAGCTTCGCTTTAGTTTTAAATGCCTCTTTAAGCACAGACAATGCTCCATCAGGCTTGCTGAAACTAAATGAAGCTTATAAAGCTTTGAACGCTATTGTAACATGGTGGGTCCCGCAGGAGACTGCAAAATCCTGCTGTGTGCAAGGATCCACCACGCTTTCAAGTGCATGCAGTGTATGTGCTAAAAAATGTAGGCAGAGCAGGGCAAGGAAAGGACAGAGCATGTCAGCATATTTTTTGAATTACCTAGCATTTGGTTTTATCACAGAATGGTAACATTGCTTTTGAAAATGAAAGTGTTTATTATCCTTTTTTCTTTAGTACATGGAGAAGTTTTGTATGTATATATGTATATATGCTATATATATAGTTTTCTTATCTGAAATCCTAAAGCAAGCAGGTATTTCTGAATAGCTCACCTAACCATATCATTTTTTCTCAATCTTTTATAAGCTGTGTTATTGGAGTAACTTAATATTGTCCAACATCCACCAAGTCTTCTGTGTGATCATACAGGCGCTTGCTTTGCTGTGCAGATTTCTTCAATGAAAAATGCATGAAGAGGGGAAAATGACAGAAAGTAGGCCAGGTAGGCACCCTGCTTCTGGCTGCGTTTAATCACAGCCTAGAAAGTCAAAGCGAGCTGGCAATAATTCTGCTTAGAAACAGGAGCACGATGTTTGTCATCCACAGTAATGAGTACAGTGTCATTAACATCTTACTGGGGCAGTGCCGCACTGCCTGGTCGCTTTCCTGTCCCCAGACAGGCAATGGATGGGCTGCTGACCCAGATTGGGCATGTAAGACGAGAGCGGTTCCTCCCTGACAAGCCCCAGCAGTGACAACTGGTCAAAATTCTGCCAGCGTGAGGTTTTAGACACAATTTGTACTACTTTAATTACACAGCTGGGGCAGGCTTTGTCCCAGGGACTCTTATCAGGCTGAATCAGACTTTAGAAGAACTAGGCTCAGCCCAGCTCAAGCTGCACTCACGAGCTTTGCTACAAACCTTCGCTAGGGATGCGGTGGGGGCAGCACATGATGGTAATTGTCATCAGGAGGAAGAGAGAAACTCTTGTTCCCGTATTGTTTTATTATTCTAATGATGCAGAGGCACCCTGATGGAGACCGTGGCCCTGCTCCACCGGGAGTTACACAAACACCGAGGTGGTAGGAGAGGCTCTGCTCCCAGAAAGCTGGCTGGCTGAGCAAGCTAGCGGGACAAGCATCAGGAGAAAAGGGAGGGCTGCTTATCTTCAGTTGTCACACAGGGAGCACTGAAATTTATGGCTATGCCCTGCCAGGTCCTCTTCCTCTATTTAATTTTCCCCTGCCCTGTGCACCCACCCATGAGATGATCTCCAGGGAGCACACAGCCCCATGGCAGAGGTTGGTGGGACTCAGCTCTGCTTGGGTGGGACTGAGCCCCTAGGGATCCATCTCGTCACCTAGCAGAGGGTGTTTGGAGAAATGCTGCCCCATTCTTTGGTGAAGAATGAGCTAGCTGGGTGAGGAGGTGACCCAAGTGACGGCGTTATCCCCCCTCAATCTCTCTTTTGGGGATTTGTAGCTTTATCAGCGGGGACTGGCCACCACTGCACTTGCTGATAGGGCTGACCCCGGGTGTGTGGGATGGGTGTGGGGATGTACAGCCACAGGGCTGATTAAGTGGAGCCCAGCAGTATAGGGAAGCTGCTGGGGAGGGCAAGGAGAGGCCCTGGGTTCCACAGGAGCCTGCTACAGACCCCAGGACAGGTGTATTTCAGCCCACACCAATGGGGCTTATCACTGCCAATTTCCTGGCTGGGGATGGCAAGGTGAAGATAATGTTCTAGAGCAGGTGAAGTACTTCCCTGGGACTTTAAAACACCTTCAGTTCATACCACTTCTCAAACTGTTCCTAATGGGAACCCCTGTATAGGTGATCGGTATGCTTACGTTGAGCATATGGTGGCTGCAAATGAAATGATTGCATGCTTTGACCAGAAAGGCTTCTGCTGGGGTCACCTCCTCCAGGAATTAATTTTGCCTAGTGTTTCTGTAAAGTTTCATGCCTTTTCTGAAAGGCAAGTAGTGATTCCCATGCTGGAAGTAATGGGGATTTGTAATGGCATTTAGGGCTGGATTAATTGCTGTGTGCTTTACGGTTTGCAGAAGTTTATAGCAGTATCTCCAGTCTGCTGTAGGTAAAACTCAGCTCCTTTTCCTTGTAACTCAAGGGCAAGGGAAACAGTAAAAAGTAAATATTTCAGCAGCACATCCTACTACTGAAAACAAAGTTAAAGATCTTAAAGCATGCCAGCACAGGGATTTGTTCTGCATGAATAGTGAGTATGTGTACAGCATCAAAAAACTCTCCCCTAGCTGGAAACAGTATTGTCAATAGGTCTGCAAGCTTTGGAAATGCACTCATGCATCTGCATGTAGCTGAGGGAGCTGCATGGACTGGTCCATGCAGGGTCATGCGGCAGGACCATCCCCTCCTAGTGCATCTCCCATCATTCCTCATCCACATGTCTTAGTTGTTGTTTGTTTTTCCAGGCTGAGTGGGATGAATCTATTTGCTCAGTATTAGTCACTAATTCCTGTGGAACGCAAGAGTACTGTGGTGGCCTGTCAAAGAGGGCCAGCAGGGACATGCCAGCAGTCTTTGTTTCCCCCCCCCGCACACCAAGCTCCTTCTCACCTCCTGGCCCACAGTGATTCTAGAGGAGTGTGGCTGCTCTAAATAAAACCAAGCTGCACCAGTAAGGCTGCAGCGAATGTAGGTCGGATGCAGTTGGAAAGCCATTGGCAGCAGCATCAATGTGTGCACAACCAGATGGTGATGGATGTGGTGTTAGGGGTGCCCAGGCTGCCTAAGGGAGATGTGAGCAGAGAGAGGGGCTGCACGTCACATGCCAGCTCCTGCAGGCAGTGCTGTGGGCAAGGAGGATCAGCACAGCCCCCTGCACTGTGGAGGGATACAAAACCTCCCTGGGGGAGTATGAGGCCAGCACCCACCAACCATGGCTGAGAGAAAATGGGGTGGCAGAAACCAGTGGGCAATGGTTGCGGTGGACACAGGTCTCGGAACCCCTCCTGTGCAACCAAGGCAAATAAAGGCAGGTATTTTGGCATGGAGAAACCAAAATATCCCGTCTCTTACAATTGCAGAATCATAGAATGGTTTGGGTTGAAAGGGACCTTAAAACTCATCCAGTTCCAACCCCCCTGCCATGGCAGGGACACCTTCCATTACACCAGGTTGCTCAAAGCCCCGTCCAACCTGGCTTTGAACGCTTCAGAGATGAGGCAACCACAGCTT